GCCGTTGTACTGCGTGCATAGCCGCAGCCGGCCACTGTTTTGAACACTTATTGTAATCACATGCCGCTTTTATAGCTTAACTTCATCGTTCTTTGTGTGTTTGAGCCTCATATAAGAACATAAACTTTGACCCCCTCTAGCGGTTTTGCGTTTTGTTTTCGACCATGCATTCTTTGATAAAAATTGTTTGCTTGGGTGTGTACTATCACTTCCTAAAATTNAAATAAAAGTTTTTTTTAAGGAATGCGATCCATTGTATCTTTACTTTTCGAAACGCCCTCGTATATATATATATATATATAATGAAAGGAGTCTCGTATAGTCTAGGAATTTTAAACACTATCTAGATGACAAGGAAACTCCTAAAATCAAGTATTGGGAGAAATTTTGCCTTCGAGGATGACTTTTTGATAGAACTAACCCACATTTGCGTTAAATGGAGAGGAAAATCACGAAAACATCTCATGGTTAGCCTGACGGCTAGGGGACTCTAACCCATGATCCGTCTTCCACTGAGGATATTTTACTTCAGCACTGTGGTCAGGGCGAGCTGGGTCAATACCTCCTAGAAGAAAAAAGGCCTTAGCACGGGTTACCATCAAGAAATTTGATCCTTTAGTAGCCCAAACTTAATGACATCTTTCGTATTTTCCACCACTGCGCAACTTAGTAGCTCGAACGCAGTGACATCTTTCTTGATTTTCATCGACTGCGCAGTCCTATGTTCGTTACGTCGGACTACTAAATTGATCTGTGCTGAGACCTTCGTTCTTCTAGGAGGTGTTGGCTGGGTACGGAATTCAAATCATCCAGCCAACGCTGGGATCGAATCCGGGTCACCTCATTGGGAGACGAGTGCTCTATTCCCTGAAATGTATACTCTTTACTTGCCTTTCAAAAACTACTGATTGCACGCACAATGGTATTGGTGCAATTTTGTCTGAAAAATTTAAAAAATAATCTTAAATTAACGCACGCTTTATGTATCAATTTCGATTGGGTAATAGCTTTCTATTTTACATGTATTGAAAGATACTGCCGAAAAAAGTGAAATATCCGTCATTAGTTTATTTATAAAATTTAAATAAGTAGACTCAAACCCATATTTAAACATTCCCCCCCCCTCGACGGGTGAGTTCGGTCTGGACAGGAAGGCCCACTTAAGCTGGAACATTACTTTTGTAACAACCATAGGTTAGTAGTTGAACCATTGCGTTATTATATCATTTAAGTACCGATTAACATGCCCTTAATTATTGTATTAGGTGGACCGGAAAGTAATGTCGTTTCGGCGGATTAAATATTCGTTAGTCTTAAAAACCAATTCATTTTGGAAAGGTTGTTGTAGGTGAATACATTATTGATTTAAAAATAAAATCTTGACATCAAATGCACCGAAGCGGCATTACTTTCCGTTCCACCTAATACTTATAACATCAGACGCTTACATTTACGAACTTGTTTAGAACTGACATGGGCTAGAAATGTTAAAATTAAGGTGAATGAAAAATCATTTAAACAAATTCATACCTGCCAACTTTTGATCCGTTCCACTATGTTTTACCCCAATTATAGTGAAATAGAATTAAAATTTCAATTGTAAGCAAAAAAAATACGTTATATTTTAAAATGCTTCAGCTGACAACCATCATTGTAACTCAAATTAATCTATATGCTCAATTTTTTTAAGAATAGTGGTGATCAATATCATTTAAAAAAATAAGTTTATAAAAGAAAAAAAAATGGTATATATTTACTACCACTTTAAATATAAAATTTTTCAACAAATGCGTAAAAGTTTGCAGATATGCAAATTACACCAGCGTTTTTTTTTTTTTTTTGAGGGNTCCATTTTTTTTTTTTTTTGGGGGGGGGGGGGGTAATACTTGTCATACTTTACCTGATTATTCCAATCAAGAGGGTGCTTTCGAATCTTAAAAATTTGTTGTGAAAACAAATACAATTCTCAATCGCTTCAGGCATTCATGACAACCACTATTATGTTATTTTATTTAAAAAAATGTATCTGATGAAAAACCTTCGGAATTCTAAAAGCTGAAGTGTTATCTTAAAAAAATCCTACAATTATTGAATTTTGCTATGACTGTCTTGGTAATATTGATGTTATAAACGAAATAACGTAACACGAGAAATAAATGGGGAATACTTTTTCTTTAAAAAAGATAAAACAAAAATGTGAATCATTTTGCAAAAAAAGTGTGAATTTTATTCTTTTTTAGAATTAATGAAGATATAAAAAAAATAATAAAAAAAATCAATAAGTCAGGCCTTTGTAGTTATTTGTCGATATCGGAAAAAAAACCCGATGTCAAAAATTACAGTGTTGTCGGAAAAATAAAATATAAGTGGAAAGGGTTAATAAAATATAAACCAAGAAATAGAGAATGTTAAAGGATAGTAAATGACCTCATGAGTTAATACCCTTCAGAATATTTAAACTGATTTACCTTTTGTAGACTCCCCTAACTTAAATCGTTATTTATTTTACCTAATTATGGCAGTCAATTTTTATTCATTTGTTGTCGGTGCTCCTAACTTATACATGATGTACCGTAACGACCACCCCTAAAATTTATTTTTAGATTTCTAACCAAAAATGAAGTTAAGAAAAAGTATACACGTTAGTGAATGCAAATTTATTACTATTAAGAAAGTAAAAATGTCACTGTTACTTTTAAGGAACATTTTCTAAAAATTATATCTTAGCGCAAGAAATATTTCTAGCAATAAGAAAATATTTTAGCTAATTTGATTGAACTGTTTTAAAAATTAGAGATCAGAGATTGGACAAAAATTTCTCGAAAAAACTATTCTTCAAAATAGTATAGATTAAAACTTTTTAAATAAATGCATAACTGTTTGAGCAAAAATATTCGCTTACTTAGAGTAATATAAAGAATACATATACGCATCAATAATTAGATATATTGGAAAATATTAGTTTTAGAGAAAATAATAAAATGTTTTTTCTTAGACAACGGAAATTCTGTAGTATATATATAATTTTTAAATTTATGTGTGAGAAATCGCAAATCTGGAATGAAAGTCTTACATTTTTCAAAAAACTATTTTGAATCAAATTTTGTGCCTTTCACTTCACTAAATATTCATTTCACTTAAGTTCACAACGAACCTAAAGAACGCGAAATATTACTAGAAATTCTTTATTCATGGATATAACCAGAGTTTTGTGGCAACAAAAGCTTTCGTTTTTATAGGAAAGTATCGGACTTGGTTATTACTTGGTCGGATTTTTGTTACTTATTTTTGGGAAGGCAAGTATAATATAGTTTTAGTTGCAAGGAAGAAAGATATTTTATACATTTTGCAAACTTAGAAATATATTGGGTTTTCTGAAAGTCTTTTTTGAATTTTTTTTTAAAACAGATCAAGTAGTATAATAATTCTTATACTACATGAGATAAGAATTTTCTTTTTACACGAAATGGTAAAAATATGTTGAATGCTATTTGAAAAATCATTGGGAAGTCTAATTGATTTACAAGATTCGCCATCTAATTCGTATGTTGAAAAATGTAAAAAATTAAAATGTTTCGCAACTTTGCAGCGCATTAAATGCTGCGTCATTCGAATGAACTTGTAATTCTAAGGCTTTGTATCTACGAGGCGTTTTCGCAAAGTAATGACACAATGTTGCATACTTACTTGAAAAAGTTTTAATCTCTAAAATGTACATTACAAGATACTTACTGGTACAGACCTTAGTTGCTGGGTGCAAGGTCCGTGCTGTACGGCGAATGATCTAAAGTTTGGCATTTGAGACTTTTGAGTAGTGCTTTGGTTTGAAGCGTTTAGTGAGGACTAGCGTTGTCATGAAACAAACTCCACTTGTCAGCAATGCCCTGTATTTTGTATACCTTTCTTTTATATGTCTTTTGTATACCTTTTTCACGACCTTTTGCTGGAAGAAAACGCCTAACGGAACGCACTTTTACATCAGGTTGGATTCTGAATTGACGCAGACATTATAAAAACGCGTTGCTCAAACAAGCCTCATCATAACAAAGAATATAGAGGAAATAATACTCTTTGACCTTTGATGATTGACCTCTCGCGTAAAAAAGGAAACTCCCAAGGTTTCAGTCTTGTGTTGCCAACGGACTCATTGAAACATTTCCTTTGCTGCTATCGTTGAAGTATCTTTACCTTCCGAAAACGCTTCGTATTTAAATTTAAGCCATGCTTTCAAAGAGAGCTATTTTATGTTTTAAAAAATTACGATTTCCATGAAGGCAATAAAATATTTATGTTCAGTGTTTTGATTTAGAAGAGATTCTAAAATTTTATAAAGATGCTAATCGTAAACAATACTTAAAAATTCAATGACATACTGTACGATTTGGAAAAGTGAGGCTTAAAATAGTCCAAGTAATAGAGCTCAAAAAATGGTTTTAACCAGGAAAAAAATGTCGAGAGTTTTTAATTTTAATATATTTAAGTTCTTGAGGGTGCTGAACACGAATCCGCATTTTGCCACCAAACATTTTTTTACGGAATTTTATTTTTTTAAACATGAAAAATCTAGTTTTGCATATTATTTTTTATAGTTTAGATAAGAAATTTCTGATGGCATATTTGAAAACTTGAGAAAATTTCCCACCAATGTACAGAGTGATAAATCAAAGAATTAAAAGTAAAGGAATAATGACTATAGCATTGAAATGATTGCTTACAACCACTGTAAATTTTGCGTCGATAAAAAAACCTCACCCTAAAAGTTAAGATTGCGATCTTTTAATCTCTGCTAATAAAATAGTTTTTGCACGTTTAGTTTTTTAAACTATGGCAAACAAGGCTATTTGCATAGATAAAGTAATTTAAAAAAACTGATTGCATGATTCAATCCTTGGGTGTAAATTGATTTGAATATTCTATTCTATTAAAATACAACAAACTTAAAGTTCATCATTTTTGCATATCAATTCGTGACACTTCCAATTATCTATGAAATACAAAAATATTAAAGAAAGTTTTTATTTCCTATATGGTGCTTATAAATTCAAGTCTACAAGTTTTGTTTTTAAAATGATCTTGTATAGATATTCACTGCAGCATGAAGCATTGCATTTGTCCAAGAACTGGCAAATCTTGTCTTTGAACAGTTATGTCTTTGTTTGACTTCATGAACTGTAAAAATCTGGCATTCGAAAAAAGTACTACCCAGGAAAAAACTGCTAAAAATCCTCCTTATAGTAAGTGAGAATAAGTTGAGTGAGTTGGCGAGTCGAGTTTTGAGAGAAAGGATAAACAGAAGGCGAAACTTAAAAACTGCTGTCCAGGCAAACAAAGAATTGTTTTTGTGTATTTTTCACACTGAATCGTAACTGAGTTGATAAAATAGTTCAGAAAAAAAAGTTTAAATAAGTAAAAGTAAATAATGGTACTTTTTATACACAAAATTCCTTGATATGTTCGGACTATTGGTCCCATTACCTCATGTTAGTTTCGTTCAGTTCAATGTGACTAAATGCATAGGAAAAAGTGTATCATTTGTCCTGGGAGTGATGACAGATGAGTAAATAGGTACTGTTTGTTAAACCACTTTATGTTCGTAAAATCATTGTAACTTTTGAATTACTGGTTTTATATGATATTATTTGATTCAGCGTAAAAGAAAAATACGTTGGAACAATGATTTTTTTTGTCTAATTAGCAATATCTAAATTTCTCCCCCTATTCACCCTTTTTACTAGAAACCGATGCACGTGGTTCTGAAATTTTTTAACACTTACTATGAGGAAGATATTTTACAATTTGTGACTGGTTAGACAATTTTTTTTCCGGATGTCCGGGTTTTCATGCTTTTGAGCTATCTTTATTGTACTTTCTCACCAATAGGAAAAAAACCAGTTCATGAAATTCGTAAATTGCTGACCCATGTTAAGACCAGCTCCTATGTTTGAATCTGGAAAATAAAATTAAATACATTAGGTTTGGGAAAAACGTACAATTTAAAATCTTATGTGACGCCTATAATTACAAGCTTAAAATCTCAAGTCTCTGAACCTACTATTTGTAAAGGATATAAGGGACGACATTTATTAATACAACACCGTTAAAAGGATAGAAAATTATGAAACATCAATTAAGAAATGGCCATGCGTATAAAATTGCAATAAATATAAATCAGATAAACAAAAATCAATAAACATAAAAGACCTAGAAAAACTCCAAAATTAATATTAAACATTCAATGATGGCTCAAGATGTCAAGTGAAAGTACTGAATTAAAATCTCGAGATCTAATTACAAATAGTATTGAATAAATAAAAATCTTACAAATTACAAGTAAAATTTTTTAAACTATATTACTATTGTGGTGCGGATGTGCTGGGTATTGTAAAAATATTGATATAACAATTAATGGGAAAATAAAGCCGATCAAAAATGTATAGTGTTTACGGTACGCATTGTGTCGCAATATGCAACCCAGTAAAATTTAACAAAAAGCACAAAATCGAAAAGAAAAACAGGGATGAAAAAAAAGTTATTTACCTGAAGCAGAGATGAATTTACACAATAAAAAAATCTTCTAATACCTGGAGTTACCTTCTAGTAAATCTAGATGGACAAATCACTCAACACAGTGACTTTAAACCAAAAAGTTCTTTATTTATGAGGGTCCATAGAAAATTGTAAAAACAGTTTCAGACGCATCGTTATCGTGGATTATTGGGAGAAGTGGCTCAGGGAAAGTTAGCCGACATCAACGAAGTCACATTGTCGATCAGTATCTATTAATCTTTTAAAAGTCGTCTCGTCCATCATTTTGGCTTCAGATAACTGGACTATCACAGAAGCTAGGGCATCTTCGAAATCAAAACGACGGTTGAAGTACATCTCGGAATTCTCTCAGCTTACATGCAAAACAATGCTGTTTGAAAAATCGAAGATAACCATTCAAAATATTTCAGGTATGAAGTTTCATGTGAATGCCTATTGACTTAAAGTTTCTGATAAAATCAGAGAAAATTTTAAATTGCCCCAAAAATTCATAGCATCAATGAGTGAAGCCATAATGGGGACCCCATCACATAGTAATCTGCTGACAGCAACAAAGGCATGAGCATGAGTCATTGGGGCTTCATCCCAGATAATCAATTTGGTTTTAAGCAACCTTTCTGCCTCTTTACTCTTAGGTTTTACGTTGGAAGTAGCATTTAAAATGATAGGAATTTTAAAGACAGAATGTGCGGTTCTGCCACCACTCAAAAGAGTTGCAGCAATGCCTGTTGAAGCAACGGGTGTTGCCATGTCCCCTTTCCCTCGAATAGTATGCAAAAGAGTAGTGTAAAGAAACGTTTTGCCAGTTCCTGTAGATCCATCTAGAAAAAAACGCTTAGAGGAATCTTCATCATTACTGTAAGCAGCTGATAAGACTGTCTCAGAACTTCTCTCTGCTCGGTGTTAATTTTTTTAAACATATTTCTGCATTTTCTTGTTCTTGTAACGCATCATAGGATGATGGGCCAAACAGTGATAGTGAAACTGCAGGAAGTTTCACATTGTCCAAATTTAAATTGTATGATTGCAGCAATTTATCAATCTCTGATAAAGCATATTGTATGCCAGTACTCCCAGCATATATATGAAGAAAATCTTCAGAAAGAGCATCCTTGTGTGTTTCCCAAAGTTGAGGAATATCTTCAACTTCCCCGAATGCACATATTATGGCAAACAACATCCGCAACTGATTAGAAGATTGTGCTTCTGCAACCTCGCTTAATGTCTGGTTCCAATGTTCATCTCCTTCCAGAAGTCTTATCCTCCTACATGCTTCTTGAAAAGAAGTACACAGCATTCCGTCCGCAGTAAGGGTATCTTCAAAACCAACGATTCCTTTGCATCTGAGTAACAACATTCTTGAATAGAATCTTTCACTGTCCTGAACACTAACTACAGGCATTCTTCCAATCACCTGCTGTGATCCTCGCTGGCGCCTCTTCCATTTTATGATGGGGAAGTAGTGGGGGAGTAAATGTAGCTGTGAGCTGCATTATCCGTTTTATTTAATTAAAAAAAGCTGTCAAGGTTGTACACTTGATAACAGCTTGTTCAGCTGCTTGAGCTTCTTGCCCACTCATGAACACTATTTGCTGCTGGAGTGGTAAGTGAACTGCCAGACGCATGACTGTATGAGATCTCTCAGACATATTAAATTCACTTAAACGCCAAATTGCTTCAGGGGCACTTACATATCTACCATCTAAAAATGTTGTTATTTCATCATGGTCAAGTCTTCCGCTTTCAGTTGTGAGCCTGATAGAAGCAGCGTCATGACCTTTGTAGACATATTTGTAGAGGTACTTAACGCTTTTGACAGAAGCACATACTTCTACATTAATGTGTGCATTGAATTTCTTAGAAAGTCAGGGATTGTATGGGACAACCCATCTGTTGTCTATTTCATATTTTCCCACTTTGACAGGCTCTTTTTTGTCTACGCTGATATACAGGGTACCCGTTAACATTTTCTTCAGTACATTCATTGAATTTCTTAGGAAATTGCATTGAACACACCCCATCTCTCATGCACGGGGAATTAGGATTCAAAGGGCCACACGGCCCATGGATCATGCATTTTGTTAGCGTTGTTCAGTATTAGGATTTGGCAATTCAGCGCAAACAAATTTGTCAATATCATCTTTCGTGCGGATTTTCGATCTATCATCTAATGTCAACAATATATGAGCATGTGGTAAGCCCCGTTTCTGGAACTCTATCACATATATATAAGCTACAACAACACCAAACAGGTTTCGCTTTAAAATTTCATCTAAAAGTTCAGATAACTTCATTTTAAACACACGGACAACAACATCTGGTCTATCTTCTGACCTTTCCCCTACAGCATCACTTATTTCTGACCACTTGGGATTGCACGAAAATGTGAGAAATAGGCCAGGTCTACCAAACTTTCTCACAATTGACATGGCATCTTGGTAGTTTTGCTGCATTTGCCGAGGCTACCTTGAAATGAAGAAGAGAGAATAATCAATTTTCCAATTTGCTTTTGCTCATTTCTGGCCTAAGCTTGTAATGCATCCAGAAGGCCTTGTTACAATTCAATTCTCAAATTTTTTGGTTCTGCCTCAGATAATTAAGGCGAGAGCCTTCTGTTTTAACGTGAACATCTACAATGTATTGATGAAACAATTTTCCACTTGCATGCAACACGCTGAATCCATCACGCACAGCAAGGCGATATGCGTAGAACTGAAGCTAAGTCACTCGCGTTCTTCTAGACGTCTGCCTCTCTTCCACATGCTCTAAACTGCTGTTCCATCCGAATTCCCCTCTCGGAAATAGCAAAGGATGCACCATGGGATCAGCACACTGGTTAATAGGGGATATATTTTTGCAGCTACTTCCAGTTGGATAGATAATTATGTCCCGGTTTGCAGGGGGTTCCCCATCATCCCCAACAAAAAGAGCAGCAACCTCAGTTGTGGTTGTAGGTTTGTTATATCTCCACAGATCCAGGTTGCCATCCTCCATAAAAACCATCTTTACGGAACTGTTAGATTATTTTGAACAATTTGATGCATCTTGGTGAAAAAATCTGCAAAGGGATTTACTTGACGCAACATATCATCCAACTTTTTCATAACAATTTCTAAACACCCTTCATTTGTTCCCATTCTTCTCTCTGTAGCCTCGATCGAGTATATATATATATATAACTGTCCGTATCCAGAATTGTTTTCCCTGCCAGCATAAAGTGGCGACACCATATGGTAGATTTGGTCATGGATTCGAAAACAGTATGGCCCAGTTCCTGGAAGGGCCTTTATTTGGGCTCCCATAGAAGCAAGAGCAGTATTGTATTCCCTTATGTGAAATCGATAATTTTTTGAGTCTGATGAATTGCCGGTCAGATCTTGAAGTAGAACAGGAAGAGTGCCAAGATCTGGCAACTGTACTTTACCACCATGGCAACATTTCACATAACGTTTGCTAGAGTTTTCCTCCTTCTTCCAATACCGTGCAGAACAATATTGGCAAGTTTCAGTCATCGACTCGCAATCATGCTCCGTTAGTAACGCTATATCGCAAATGCCGATACCACGATCACGTGCTGCACGTGTCCGCCTCTATGCGATTGGCACGGCGATAGCTGGCTTCCTCGGGAGTTTCACTCTCTCTAAGAATTCTTCGACTATTGTTATTGCAATAATACTTCACAGCTCTTCTTAAATCCATCCTTAATTCTTAATCAGAAACACATCGTTAAAAGGCAGAATGCTTTGGTGTTTTCAAAACGTAAACAAAACAAAGCAAACGTTACCACCGGCGGAAAAGAAATACAGCCAAAATTTGGGAGCCACGTAAGAGAATTATATATATTAGATTTAATTTCTACTGCTTCTTCTCTGTTATGCCTGATTCGAAATTGAATTAATATAATCTTTGTGCTACGAGTATGTTTCATTTACAAACTAATTGTATTTTAAAAATTACCACCATTTTCGGTGTTGAGATAAATCAAAATTTTTTACTGGGGTTGACAAAATTTATATTCAACTCGAATTTTTTAAAGCAGAACCCGAAAGCCATATTTACGAAATGTTTTTATCTCAATAAATTGTTGATGTATTTATATGAGGAAGGATAAAAAGGGCGTGAGAGAAAGGTGTTCATCAAAGTAGTAGATCTGAAAATTTAAACTTGCTACCATTTTAGTTTTTGTTATTTTTGCACATTTTGTTTTGGATTTGTTGACTAGGATTCTAAAAATACACTAGTGCATTAAGGGCAGACTTTAAAGAACATCGTATTTGTTCTTATGACAAAATGATAAAGCTGGTTCATTACTTAGTTACTTTTACTCTCGGTCTTCTTTTTTTAAAAAATAACAATTACGGAGTATTTTCTAGTTTGAAATGCAGAATATATTTATTTCAATGTCACTGCTTATAATATTATAATGAGCATTAATTATATCAATATTATTTTTTTTTCACTATACGAAGCAAATTTTTTTGTATGCTTACCCATGTTACCTTTATTTGCCCTTTCATCATAATCTGGTTCTGGTTTGTCATAATATGGACCTTCAACATCACTTGTATCATAGTCTGCACCTACCTCTGAAAAAGAAACACGGTCATGTTTTTTTAAAGAGAATGATTTTAAAAAAATGACAAATACCAATCTTTGAGAAATTCAAAATGGGATTAAATTAAAATAATTTTTTTTGTTTATTACTACTAATAATAATAATTGAACTAACCTAATTCTTCACCAACGTTACAAGTTAAGGTATTTATTCAATTTAATATATATACAATTTAAAATTTGTAGAAAGAAGTTACGGCTTATTCCATTTTTCTTTTTAATAAATATAATAATAACAATTCAAGTTTATGAAAAATATATAGGAAATGGACATACTAATGATATTAAGGTATGAAAAGGAATTAAAGTTCAGATTGGGCACATATTTGTTGAGCAACTCCATCTATACTTTGACGAAGACCGTGCTATTTAAAAATAAGTTTAAATCAGCGCAATTGTTAGCTGATTTATTGTTGTAGGAATGTATAATATGGTGCCATATATGTATAATATTTTAATATGGTGTCAATCGGGATTTATAAGCAATTCGCAAAATAATAAGGTAAATGTTGAAAACACTGCAAATTTTAATGTATCATAATTAGGTGTGTGCTTATTTTGTAGTAAAATTATCGTGCAATTTTAATTACAAACACATTCAAAGTATAAAAGAAATATTTTTCAAGTAAAACATACAAGGAATAAGTTTAAATGTTTCAAAAAAAAATTCTGGTTTGAAATATAAACTTTTGCATTTAATGTGCTGCACTTAAATAACAAATTAAATTGGGAAAGGATAATAAGAATTTAATTGTGTGAATGAGTGGGATAGGTTTTCTTTTAATAAGGATTAAAGAGTAAATTAAGAAGTTTAAGCTTAGAATATGTTGGATATAAGCTAATTTGCAAACTTTCAAGTTCCACTTTCAATTATTAACTTGCAGACTTTCATTTATAAACTTTTATATTGTTGGATATAAGCTGTTAAGTGCAGCACTTAAACAACAAATTTAGGGGAGTAATTAGAATAGGTTTTCTATTAATTAGGGTTAGAGAGTATTTTGAGAAGTTTAAGCTTAGAAATATGTTAGCTATAAACTATCTTGCAGAATTTCAAGCTCAAATAGCTGATATATATGTGTGTCTATAGGTATTTAGCATAGTTTTATCTTTAGAATGTTTAATATTTTTGATCAGTGAAGATAAATAAAACAAACGATATGTCTTCCTGGTTTGCATCTCTAAACTTGCCTCCAGACTTGAAAGAGTTATCCGATCTTAACGCACGGTATGAGGTTTACGTTAAAATTCGTTTAAAAAGTAGTGACAAAACTATATCGTTTTCACTCTTTTTATCAAAGAAATATCCTATAACCACAAATATTAATGATTCCGAAGATTATAGAGTAATTTAGAAAGTTTAAGCTTAGAATATGTTGGATATAAGCTAACTTGCAGACTTTCAATTGCAAACTTTAACATTGTTGGATATAAGCAGCACTTTAACAACAAATTTAGGGGAGTTGGAATAGGTTTTCTAGCAATGAGGGTTATTAAATTATTTCTTTACCACTCTTTTTATCAAAGAAATATCCTATAACCACAAATATTAACCCCTTGGGCTCGGGTGATTCCTAAAAGCATTCGTAAAAAATCAGAATGTAAATAAATAAAAAACGGTAGCTTAAATGTATGCGTTGCTAATTTGACAGACTTACTTTGCTTTTACTTTAATTATTGTTAGTTTAATCATATATATATAATCAATGTTAGTTCAAAGTATAACTAAATAATTTTATTTTGAACTAAAGTAATGGTGTATTAAATAAATCAAACAATTATAACCCCGCCCACAAATAAACTGCTAAAGAACTACTTTTGTTACCAGTTTTATCTTTTTACCCTGATTGATACGGTTTTATGTTGGCACGTATATTCGGAGCGAAAGGGTTAATGATTCCAAAGATAAATGTTCAATGCTATTGTTCATGCCATCAGACATAAAAAGTATAAATAATTAAACTATCTGCCGTATAAATAATTAAATATTTTTAAAAGTGCAGAATCAAGTTTGCTTCAGATTTGATAAATTGTTGCGTTAATTTTTAATTGATTACAACCGCATTATATTTTTTTAGAAAATTGTTTCATAAGTTTCCAGCATGCAATGTGTTGAAGGGCCGTCCATAAATTATATCACAGGATTATTTTTAAAAAAAATTCATCCCCCTCCTCCATTTTATTACCACGTTTCACACTTCAACGCACTTCCTTAATGCCACTCTATATTATATGAACAAGTAGTTCAGAAACGAAACACTTAAATATCATATTTTATTTTTAAGCTTTATGTATTTTTATGACATTTCTAAAAAGCATAACAATAATAATAATTAGATTTTTTCTTGTCATATTGAAATTTATGAAACAAACAATGCAAAAATATTTATACTGCTGATTTTAAATATTTTTATTTTATCTGAAATGAGAGATGTATTCTTAATCACATATTCACAAATCCAACCCATTCCAAGCGTGACATCATTTATTAACGCGGCCCCTATTATAAATTATCCCATTAATAAGGTGGCATTAGTTGATTTTGTCAGTTATATTTAACCCTTTCGCGTCGACTGTCACAATTACGTGCCAGCATAAAACCGTATCAATCTTGGTAGAAAGATAAAACTGGTAACCAAAGTAGTTCTTTAGCAGTTTATTTGAGGGCGGGGTTATAATTGTTTGGTTTATTTAATTCACCATTACTTTAGTTCAAAATAAAATTATTTAGTTATACTTTGAACTAACATTGATTATATATATGATTAAACTAACAATAATTAAAGTAAAAGCAAAGTAAGTCTGTCAAATTAGCAACGTCTACATTTAAGCTACCGTTTTATTTATTTACATACTGATTTTGATTTTGTACGAATGCTTTTATGAATCACCCGTCCCCAAGGGGTTAAGGTAAAAAGAAAAGCAAATAATTAACTCCATTTTTTTAAAAAATTGGTAAATGAAAAAATTTAGTGATAATTGTTACTTACCAGTAAGAAAAGGAAACATAAAAACAAACGAAATATAAACAATTAAGAATAGATTGAAATTCATGTTGAAGAATGTACACGTGTACGTTTTTCTATCTTGAAAAAAGGAGTAGTATATACATATGACATAAGTAAAGAGTGATAGAGTAAAAAAAAAGAGAAAAGAAATGCTACGCGTAATAAGTATAATCACATATTATCACTATTTCACAAACTCAACCCATTCCAAGCGTGACATCATTTATTATCGCGGCCCCTAATATAAATTTTCCCATTAATAAGGTGGCGTGAATTGGTTTTGTCAGTTATATTTAAGGTAAAAAGAAAAGCAAATAATTAACTCCATTTTTTAAAAAAAAATTGGTCAATGAAAAAATTTAGTGATAATTATTACTTACCAGTGAGAAAAGGAAACATAAAAACAAACGAAATATAAACAATTAAGAGTAGAATGAAATTCATGTTGAAGAATGTACACGTGTACGTTTTTCTATCTTGAAAAAAGGAGTAGTATACACATATGACATAAGTAAATAGTAAAGAGTGATAGAGTAAAAAGAAAGAGAAAAGAAATGCTACGCGTAATAAGTATAGCGTCACGGTCTTTTTTTTTTTTTACAATTTATCCTTCTAAAGAAATAAGGTATAGCTTATCATGATCTTAAAGTTATTTCCAGATCACGTTTGGTTTTTTTTCCTTCAAAAAATTTTAGTAAAGGATGTTAAAAAAATTATTTTAAAAACATTTTTAGAGTTTTTAGAATCTATTACTAATCCGGGTAAAAATAAAACAGGGAGTAATAATATCTCCCATTTATCTGTTATTGAGAAGACATAAATTATACAAGGCTACCTGTATAATTAAAAATTTATTCAATACTATATTTTCTGATGTTTGAATCTGTATTATGTTAGAATTCTGTAGTAATGTTGTATTTTATTTTACTTTATTCATTAAACATTTACTCTGTAAAATGTTTTGGAACTTGTATAAATAGAATTTTTTTTTCGATTTCTTCCAACTTATGTTGTGCTAAGTTGAACCATATTAAAGTGCAAATTAATCTTAATATATAAAAACTATGAAATTGCCATGAAACACGGTTCTATTTAACACCCTATGATGGTTGCAGCTTATTTGAACAATAATATGGTTTAGGTGCCAATAAGGTTGAACGTATATGCAAAACTTATAGTGTAACTGAAATGTAAACAGAATTAAATTTAACACGTTACAGAATATTTAAGCAATAACATGGTTAAGGTGCCGATAAGATTGAACTTGATTAAGCAAAAACTATAGTGGAACTTAAATGGAAACATGGCTCAATTTTTCAAGTTATTGTGGTTACAGCATATTTGTACAATATTATAGTTTCAGGAGCTGATACGGTTCAATTGTTTTTTCTGAAAGTGATGAACATTAATAATCAGCTCATAATCGTGCCAGTAAAAAAGAAAGAAATATAATGCTTGTAAAATTAATAAATTATTCCTTTTCTTTATCTTCATAAAACAATCGGTAACGATAACACAATGAAATAAGTAAGAATAAAAAATTAAATAGTTGAAACAAATAACTTACTTAACTAAATTACCAGTAGATACAAACAGTTTTTGGATCATTTATCCTTTTGAACTGCTTATTCAGCTATATTTATTTTCTCATCTGTTATAAATCTAATTACTTGATGGGGGAAATATCGGCAATCATTTCTGTGTTAATTGAAGAAGAAATTATTTAATTATTAGCTTTAACAGGATTATCTATGAGAGAAAATACAGAAGTTGTGTACTTTATCTACTATTTTTTTAAAGGTTTTACTTCATCGTTAATTGCATATTGTATGAAATAAATACGATTAATTGATATCTAAACATAGAAAAAAGAACATTTTTTAATAAAATTATTTTTACTTTTAATCCTTTTGTTAAACAAGATTAATTTTTCTGAAAACTAAAACATAAACTTTT